CTTGAAAACTAGAGCCAATCAACAATTTTAAGCATCATTTTTGTTCTCAGTGACCCAGAATTAGTAAAGTTTGACTACATTTATTTCAGAAGCATTTTGGCTGTTGAGCAGTGTTATCATGGGTTTCTAAATTGGCCATAAAACCTGGTTCTCATAAAATTTTGTATAAAAGTCTGTGCTCCAAGCACTTTGTCAGATTTAGTTAATTTTTTTTAAGTGTAACTTTTTAGTTTTGTTTGTTCTAAAACAAACATTTTGCAATTTTAATGTCATACTCACTATAGTAGGTACATTCTATAATATGTTCTTTTTTCAAATAGTCAGGATCTCCTTTTCAAACTGATTTGATACATTGTCAGTGATGAGCAAATTAACAGGTTTTTTTTGTAATTGATATAGTTAATGTTGAAATCTGTGAAAGAGCCTTTCTAGTTTTCTTTTTCACTGATCCCCAAATTATGGAAGTGTTTCATAGAGTTTCTTTGAGTTTTTTAACTTGCTGGCCAGAAACATACCGATACTCGAACATAAAAGAATACATTACACGGAAGTATCTACTTCTCTTGTGAGCAGCTACTTATAATGTTAAAGTGAAAGCTTCTACTCCATTCTTAAATCTTCTCGGTGAGTGTATTCAGTCTAAAAGAGTTCAGTATTACCCATTTTAGTGCCAGTGTAGATATGGACTGGCTGAAATATTTTAACTAATTATTTTGCTACTGTCCCACAGTAGAACAGAGGACTTTTCCAAATCTCCCAGAATCCAATCCTTCTGGGAGCTGTGCTGGGAACTGGTGGTAGATATCCATAGAGCATTGCAAATTAAATGGTTTCGATCAGGGATCTCTTGTTGCAGGGCAAAAGTGCAAGGACTTTTAAATTGACTCAGTGTGGATGTGATTCAGTTCTTTAACTGGTTGTATCCAACCAATTCAAGGACAAAAGATGTAATCTTGTAGCATAGACACACAGCCCAAGTGTTTGTCTAGGGAAAATTTAACTTTTTAAAAGGGGTTTTATGCAACGTGTCCATCTTGTTTTATTGTCCAAGTTGGATTCAGTGCCAGGCTGCCACATATTATAAATGCCCCGCATATTGTTAATGAGATAATGCTATTTCTTAAAAGCCATTATGGATTTAAGACACTGTCCTGCAAACACTTACACATGTGCCTAACTTTAAGTGGGGAACTAATCACATGCAGGATAGGGGCCCAAGTGGTGTATATGCTAAACCCTATTGTTCTGAGGTCCAGAAACCCACATTTCTGCTGCACAATACACAGGTAGATATTTTTCAAGCAAACATTAGTGAATACCCGTATTCATATTTGCAACACTAACCATCATATTTGAAAGGGGTTTTGTATAAGTGCTTGTTTAAACTTTAGTCTCTGGAGACAAAGTAGAAGTGTTGCCTAACAATCCAGCATGCTGTTCATTCCCTTATATCATTCCTGAATTATTTTAAACAGCATTGAATTTACCAGATGAAGTTATTTTCAGATCTGTTTTGCACAGGTCATATTTTTGCATATCTCATTGTTTACAGTTCAGGAAAGGTTCGATGTATTTAAAAGTAACTTGAGGATGTCTGTTTTTAATCATTTACGCTCTATTTTTTTATGTAGGTCTTCCTGTGTTTTCAGAGAATTACTGCTGACATCCTTGGCATCAAATTAAACAAAGCAGAAATGGAACAATCACAGGTGATTGTCCTGCATACCTTGCTTTTATTAGATATTTTCTTGGTGTTTAAAAAAAAATCTGAATACAAATGAATAATAAATTTTCCTTCAAGGTAAGTTGCATCCCATTTGTGCTTGAGTCAGTTGTATGCTTCTATTACAGTCTTCCATATGTGTTCATTCCTTATATATGTGTAGTTTAAAAACATTTTAAACTTACAAAATTTGTGTCCTACTAAATTAGAAAAAAAATAATTCAAAAGCTTTTTCTGGTTAAGAATAACATAACTATATTATATACATTCAAGTGTGTGTTTATATACCTATATATAGTTTTATTGTATTTTTAAATTGATGGTGCCTGACACACTAATTGCATTTACAGTGTGCTCAGTACTTTACATGGCACAAAAATGTACAGTTCCAGTCCTCAAAAACACAAGTCAGAACACACTGAGAAATCCAAAAGCAGGAACAAACTTGGAGGGTTTAATTAGATATAGATATAGGTATATAGTTATAGATATATATAGAAACAGAGACCTTGTCAAATGTACATATGCTTTAATTAAACACTAGATATGATTATATGGCACTTATGTCCTTATTTGTAGTTCTGTACATTTTTTAATAACATTTGTTTTAGAGAGTTATAGGTTTTAAAAAAAGAAACAGAGGGTATACATTTATATGGATATAAATGTTGCACGTTTACATAATTGTAAACACTATCTTGTTAAAGTGGAAAAAGATCTTGCATGTGGTTCACACAGTCAGGAAAAAAATCCATCCATATAATACAGTATGTTAAGGCCAGATTTTGGTTCATTCTTTGTACCCACACAACGAAGTGAGGGGGCACAAATCTTTCCTTTTTGCCTCTATGTTGACTGCCCATCCCAAAGAAGGAAAAGCAGCCTCTTCAAAGTAACTACTCCCCACCCTATACAGGTGGGTGGATGGGGAGTGGTTGGAGTTTTGGCTCCAGAGCCTCTAATGCCAATGCATTAGGCAACCTAGTTGTACTGGCACCCTGGGTAGGGTTGCCACCTGTTCAGGTTTTCCCCGGATCATCCCTTTTTGAGGTAGCTCCGTAAGGGTGCTCAGTCTAAACTGCCAGCTGTCCCGTTTTATGTGCTCAGGATCATCTGAGGTGTCCTGGTCTTCTGTACGTCAGAGGTTTCAACCCTAACCCCAGGGGACGTGCTGTGCTAGGTATAGCATAGTTTTACTGAATTCAGTAAATCATCATAGTTCCATTAATGTGACACTGATTTATATCAGGTGAGAATCAAGCCCATTATGTTCAAATGGCTGTGAAGAAATTGCTGCTTATTCCTTTATGAAGGGCTTGTGATATGCATTTTTAATTAGCTTCCTGGAAGTACCAATCCCAAAAAAAATCTTCATTTAAAGATATTTCAGTGTTAAACTATCTCATTGCATTCAGCTTCTCTGTGTGTTAGATACCTCAGTGCTGTGTTTTGTGGCTAGTCCTATTAATTAATTACTGGTGTATTGGACACAACAGGAGAATTTTGGTGGCAAAAAAGCCCATCAAGAACTAACACTGGGTATGTTTCACGTTGGACAATTTGATCTTAGTGACATTCTCCAATCACATGTGGGGGATTGTCTTCTGTTTCCTCTAGTTTCAGTAGGGATTGAGGGTGAGAGAATAGATCCCAGCAACAGTTGTAAGCTTGATCTCCTAAGGAAGCCCTTGCCCACACTCCTAAATTGGTAGCTAAGGATGTGACTATGGTGACTTCTGTATGAGCACATAGAATCATAGAATATCAGGATTGGAAGGGACCTCAGGAGGTCATCTAGCCCAGCCCCCTGCTCAAAGCAGGACCAATCTGCAAACAGATTTTTGCCCCAGATCCCTAAATGACCCCTTCAAGGATTGGAAGACTCTGAAACCTTCAAGGATTGAACTCACAACCCTAGGTTTAGCAGGCCAATGCTCAAACCACTGAGCTATCCGTTCCCCAACATAGTTCAGCTGCTGCAGGCCCCTTTTGGACTATGACCGTATTTAAAAAATACGATGAACATTTTGTGTCATTCTGTGTTTGTCACATGCACAATAGCATTAATTGAGAAAAAATATATTTTTTTCCATTTTTTGTCCCCAGAAAAGGAAAAGCAATTAGTTCACATTAATGAAGGAAAACTGTTTAGGAGAAAAACATTTCAAAGAATGTCAATTCTCTCATTAAAAACATTCCTATTTTTTCTAAATTCCATTTTTAAAAAATAATTTCCCTTTCAGGTTGACTGTATGCGCAAACATCCAACCCAAAAGGATTTTACACACACAGTTTCATAAACCCCTGAAAATAAGGATTAAAATACAGAGTTTAACTTTTATAGTATTATGATGTTATGAGATTTTAATACATATATTTTTAATTTACTTCTTGTACTCAAAGCAGTCTCTTCTAGCAGTTCAAGGGGCTGCACTGTTGGCCACTGTTGAGTTACCAGTTATTTAAAAAAAATCAGAAAAATTCAGTAAAATATGTTTATTAAAAATTTACCCTTTTATGAACAGCATGCTCTCTAGTTTGCTTAAATATACAATAAATCTATTTTCTAATCATATAATAAGAAAATAAGTTTTTCCCTAAGGCAATATTTACAATCTGTGTTGAAATATATAGCTAGAAATTTTTTTTAACAATAGAAGAACAAAATATATTATGCAGTACACACCCAACAATCAAAGTAGAACAGCTAGGAAAAACTTTTGTTTGTATGCTACGCAGAAATAGAAAAGGTCAGAACAATGTCCTTTTGTCTTTATTTATATATATATATATATATATATAGAGAGAGAGAGAGAGATGCGTGCTATTTGCTTCGACCTGGTCTACACTGGGGGGGCGGAAATCGATCTAAGCTACGTGAATAACGTAGCTGAAGTCAACGTACTTAGATCTACTTGCCGTGGTGTCTTCACTGCGGTAAGTTGACGGCTGACACTCTCCCGTTGACTTCTCCTGCGCCTCTCGCCCTGGTGGAGTACCAGAGTCTATGGGAGAGCGCTTGGTGGTCGATTTATCACATCTACATTAGACGCGATACATCAACCCCTGCTGGATCGATCGCTGCGTCTGAGGAACACAAACCAAAACAGAATCATGAGGTCTGAAAAGTTGTCTGAATACTTAACACTAAGTGTACACTTTACAAAAATAACATTGCTGACTTCCATGATTTTATGCACAAGAATCTCAGCTTTCATTAAAAAAAGTTTCTTATTTATGATTATGGATAAAAACCTCAAAATGTGATTCCAGTGCATCCAGAAGGTAAATAAAAGCAACTTCAAATGTATTGTGGGTTTTTTTTAAATAATAGTTTCTAAGCCAGTATCATGATTTTGCAGAGCTTGACACAAGTTTTGAAGGCTTGGGTTAGCTATATACAACACTTGTGCCATGATGGAGGGAGCTCTTGGTCCCATTAAAGTCAACAGCAAAACTTTTGTTGACTTTACTGGGTACAAGTGCAGTCTTTTAGAACATGGTGCCTCCTAACCAAACCCATAGTCAGTCAAAGGCCAGATAAAACAAAAGTAGATAGCTATCTACATAAGACGGAGTTTGGAGCATGTTTTCAAGGTGAAAGAGTTCCAAAACAAAGAATTTACACACTACATTTTATTTTCAGCCCTCAAATTCCTCACTCTTTTAAAACACAAGGGGCTGTTGAAACTTAAGGAAATGGCTCCTTTACTAATTAAATGTTTTTCTTTCAATATTTTTTTACTTCCAGTCATAGTATAGAAACTGCATGAGGTACAACTTTGTTTCTGGGCATTGGCAAGAATTAACATTTTTCTAAGTAATATATGTTTTTCTCTTGAACTAAATGCCAATTTAGCATGGTAGTGCTAGTGTGCCAGCCCGCTACAATAAAGTATTTGGCATTAAGCAAGGGCTGGAATTCTGAGCACCTGCACCAAATAAACAAACTTGTGGATCTGATTGTTGATAGAAACTGGAGCCTTGGATAATACTTCCAATCTAATATAGAGATGTCCCAAAATGCATAATGTGTATGTAATGGGTGTGAAGCTAGCAGGAAAAAATGTTGCATGCTGTTTCTTCTCTTCTTATTTAGCTGAAATTCCTTTAGAAAATCCAAGTCATTTATGTTAATCAGTCTCCTGCCACAAAGTGACTTAAACATGGGTCACTAACCTAGCTATGTTTACACAATGGGATTTAAACCAACATTTTGTGGGAACAATTAATTGCTTACTGATTGCAAGGATCCTTTTTCTTCAGTCTAGCATAGAGCTTGGTATGAAGAAATTAGGTCCTATGAGGTCAGATAACACTGTTTAATGCTGAACCTCTACTAGCGCCTTACATGGGATTTGGCAACCCTTCTCTTGATAACATCAGGCCAGAAGTCTAGTAAATCATGACTCTTGTCCACCAGATAAGATATGAAGTTGATCAATTAAAACTTAAGCAGAGTACTTCAGCAGCTAATAAATCTAAACACTCTACCGTCTAGTTCAATTACTATTGCTTGTTTTACATATATGCTTTATTTACAGAGGTTATCTTCAGCAAACAATGTTTATATATTCATGTCCATATTAAATGATGTTTCCTTTAGAAATATAAAATTGTTTCCCCCATTTGTGCCTCACTTGTAACAAACATATATATTTTAATTATGTAAGAACTGAAATATTAGGACAGTAGATGCTGTCCATATAATTGCTGTCGTAGTTTCCCCCTGCTATTTTGTATTACTGTTTGATTTGTGTGTTTATATTTTTCTCCTGTAAGTATAAATATTTTTTATTCTGAAGACTCTTTAATATATTTTTTTTATAAAGGGTAAGAGAGGTTTGGGAAGAGGATTGATTGTTTTTGCTAAAAGCAAATATTTGGCAAAGAACATTGAAGGAATTTTTTTATTAAGCCTGGGTGAAATCTTCATTTGAAGTCATTGGAATTCAACCATAAAATGCAGATATGCACATCCCCTCTACTTTTCCTTTTGCAAGTTGTATGTCCCAGTCACTTCACTAAAAGATTGCTTCAGCAAAACTTGCAAGTGATTAAGAACAGTTGGCAAGTAAAACATGAACTAACTGAAAGCATTTGGATGTGAGGTTTTATGTTTATCATTTTGGAATTGTACTACAATTATGTAGTGGGAATGATGCATGCATATCTTTAATACAATTATTATAATTGTGAATAGAAGTGGATCTATGTAGCATTTACATTGATTAGAGGCAAAGAAAGAGTCTGTCCTCTTTCTCCCCTTCCTCCCCCCATTTTTTTCCAATCCCTTTTCGTGTCTGAGTTGCAAAACATTTTTATTGGTTGCATAAACTGATTATTTTGTGTTGGTTGTGGGAGAGGGCATGATTGATGAAGAAACTGAGCAGCTACTCCAACTCCAGCTATAAAACTTTCTGCTAGGCATATCTCTGTCTCTTATTCAGCACGGGGCCTGGAAAGAAATGCATTTTTGTTTTGGTTAATTGTTTTTGCTTTTGTGCTGTCATTTGTGTCATTCATTCCTTCTTTTCTGCTATTGATCTGTCTCTCCATTTTCTTTTTGTTTTTCATTCTCCTCCTTGCTATTTGTCCATTATATTGACATGTGGTTGACAGCATGTTGTCAGGGCAGAACTAGTGAAGTATCCTGAAGAAGATAACCAACACTACAGCACTGCCAACTGTCAGAGTAAAATCTGTTCAGTGCAATAGTTCAGGTATCATGGTAAAAATCAATGTGTTTTTTATTACTTTGCTTTTCCATGAAGTAGTAAGTATGATAATGAATACCACTCTGAAATGTTTTGTACTGTATGTCTATTAACAGTGAAGCTATGTTGTATACCTCTTCACATCATTTACACAGATTAAATCAAATTTCAAATACTGGTTAATTCCTAGCAGCTCTGTAATAATATCATGCATTAATATTTTGGGGACAATTTTCAAAGCTGGGTAGTCAAATTGACACACAGCAGCACAAAATGAACACCTGATTCCTTATTTGAGCACTACATGTGAAATCCTCTAGATTTGTTGTCCAGATTTGAAAACTGGTTACATGTCGTCAGTAGTAATCCAAAAATGTAGCTTATGGGCCAGTTAAAATGGGATGAAGTTCGAAAGTTAAAGTTTTAGGTAGTTCATTAGTGGTTTGGTAGAAGTTATTACTAATGGCAAACATGTTGATAGCAAACTGAAACTGATTTTGTACAGATATAATCTCGGATAAAATGCTCATGTGGTTTGAATCTTTAGTGTACAAATACAGAATGAGATCCGTTTAGAAATTCTTTGTAAAGTACAAGGGTTACACAACATACAAAATGCACCAAAGAACCCCCCATCAAAAGTTTATTACATTTTTAATGAATAGATTGACTAATAGATGTGTGAAGTACATAATATGGGAGATATCTAGATTTTATGTTTGTTTTGCTCCTTAAATTTTCTGCCTATTACAACTTTACTGAAATGTCATTTTGTTAACTCAGAATCTTGTTTTGGTTTTCAGTTTCCTATGAGGGCAGCAAGAGTGAAAAATTTCCATTTCATGCTAACAATATATACCAAATAATTTCCTGTTAAACAATAGACTGTTATTCAAAAATACCACATACAGTATTCTTATTAAACAGATACTGTTTTATTATTATCCACCATCAATACTTAATACAAAAAACTTGTCTCATGAAAGAAAATACTGTTTAATGATTGTAAAGCGAGTTATGTTAATACATACATCAGCCTTACAAAATTGTCATGAAAACTTAGCAACCAAGGCACACTTTTTCCATCTAGTACCAAGAAATCAATATTTAGAATGAGAATGAACACCTAGACAAGTCTTTCTGCATAATTTCCAGTAAAAGAGTACTACAGTATATGTCTGTTCATACTGATTCTTTATTAGCACAAACATATTTCATAGTAACACATCTGTGTTCTAGGGTTCATTAAAATAATTGCCATGTTAAATGTTTTTAGTAGCACTTTGAACAATATCTGCTTCTGATATCTTGATAATCACTGTGTTTTCTTTTATGACAGAGGGTGGTGAAGGCAGATATTGTAAACTACAGTCAAGAGCCTGTGGCAAGAACTGTTAACCCTCCTAGAAGCTCAATGTGTGCAATTCAGTGAACATATTTTTCTTTGTATTGATACCGTTGGCAGCCTTTCTTCCCTTGAACAGGCCTAGAGGTTGCCAGGAACTTTGTTTGAACAGTGACCATCACTGTAGTGCAGTTAGAGGTTTCGAAAACTTGCTACGCCATTGTGTGTTGAAAAGCAGCAGGCATTTTGTTTTATTGGCCTAGATTCAAACAGTGGACCACACACTTTGAAAAATTAAGATATATTTCTGAATTATATTCCCATAAAGCAGTGTAACTGTGTATACATATGCCCTACTATCTTTTTGATTGATGTTGCGGTAAAATTGGATTAGAATTCCTGTATTCAAAATAGTTTTAAAGGCATTACTGCTGTAAGGTATTTTGCCAAGGCATTTTGTCTTTTTTTCCTGTGATCTAAACTGACACTCAGCAAAATGTAACTTGGAGAAGCTATTGTCAGATTAGCATTTGAACCAGTAATATATTTTATGTAAGAATAATTTGGAAGATATTCCATTGTTATATAGTGCAAAAATGTATAAACTGTATCTAATGAGAAACAGTCCTTGAAATAAAGCTATAATAAGAACATACTTATTTATTTATTTATTTTTTTAAGGACCCAAATTGTCCCCATTGCTACTTGCAAGATGCCAGTAATGAATATTAGTGTATCATATCAATGTCCTTTCTTGTGTTAGATGCAATTCATGTATGTGTTCATGAATTTGGATGAACCTCAATCAGCAGTTTGGAGTGTTTATGATGAGCGATGTGTTCAGCATGCATTAGAAACTGTTAATGAATCAATTAGGATCAGTCATTTTTAGTTGGTTCATAACCCCAGGAATGTTATGCTCCTTGGCAGGATGGGCTGGATTGGGTTTGGCGTGGTACTTTTTTCTTTCCCTATAACCCAATCTCAACAGCAATTCTTGCCAATACAGTTCAGAGTAAAAGCCACAAATAAAAAGTTAAGTCACTCAGTCTTATCCTCTCTGTGACCAACAAATTTCTTCTCTGCTCCAATGAATATTACTTATTTCTGGAGAGTCTCTTTCAGACATAGTGTGCTCTGGGGCACATCTGAATGGGAAGCCCAAGAAAGGTGAGATTTAAGACAGACTGCTTGGTTTCAGCAGAGAGGAGTAGATCGAGTCTGTCTTAGCCTTCTAAAGGTGGGGAAAGCCAGTAGGACTGGCAGGGGAATCTTGTTTAATGTCACAGGGAGAACAAGATGAGAGAGAAGGTGGGAAGGTAATTGGAGAGGAAATGAGGCAAGTAATGGGAGTGGACAATCCCAGTGCTTTGCAACCAGTGTGTGAAAGATGAGATTCCAAAAGAGAGTTACAAATGGCACGAATGTGGGTCTGGTGTGTTTGTTATTTGGCTTTTTTTTAGGGCTCACTATTATTTTGAAACGGATCAATATGGAGTGTGAATGGTAGCTTTAACTGGGTGGTAGAAAATGAAAAAGGGCTGTGATTTATTATTTCTGAGTGCGCACAAGGGTGCTAGGCACTTCACAGAAACAAGCTGAGGCCAGTCCTCTCCTTAAAGAGTACACAACCGAACAGGCAGATTTTCAACATAAGCATGCTCTATTTAAGGTCAAGTTGAATAGAGATTGTTTGTTTTCTGGGCTGGAGAGGGGTAGGTTGGGCAGCTCAGTCCTGTTTCCCCCAACAAATGTGCATTTGAGGTTGTACCATCGTACTATGATGTGGATGCTGAAAGGAGCTTTTGTTGAATTGTCCCCTTTTACAAAAATATTAGGTTTGCTTTAAATCATGGTCTATCTAGTTATTAACCCCGTAACTGCTGGATTTCCATATCACTTGCTGGTCATATGGCTGAAGCACAAGACTGGGAACCAGGAGATCTGGCTTTAATTCACAGTCTACCACAAACATTCTGTGTGGCCTTGGATAAGTTTTTTATGTTTCATTTCTTGAATTAATTTATCATTTTGTGCTGCTGTTTCCTATCTGTAAAGTAGGATTAATATTTCAAAGTGGCTTCTTCGTATTCCCACCTTTGGGATGCCCCTCTCTACATGGTTTCAAAGCTTTCTGGAAAGTTTTGAAACCATGCAATGGACAGTGGGTGCGCTGTGACCCTCCTCACTTGCAATATTCATTAGCCAAATTTATTAAAAGAGCTGTGTGGCCACAACTGCCTCTGTCTCTTGTACTAAATTTGAGTTCTTAGAACTCCCAGGAAGACGTGAGGGTGGGTGGGGATTGTTAATATGCAGAGGCAACACGCTCCGAGAACTACAATTTCTGGTGGTAAGTAATCTGTTTTTTCCCCCTCTGTACTTATAAATCTAATGGGATGTTGAGGGTGAGTTTCCACTTTTCTGCACTAGGCCTTACAAGACATTGAAGTCGGTACAGCCGCCTATTGACTTAGTTGGATTTGTCATAAAAGGGTGATTATTTTTCTCTATATTTAATATTTTCATGGCTTGTAATAGCAATAATAACCTCCAAACTGGGCCTTTCTTGTCTGGTTAGGGGCACAAGGGTGAACTTCTGGCCCCACTGAATTCACCTTTGGAGTTTAGCACCTCCAGTTGCTCGTATAAATACAAAGAAATGTCTAGCCATCTTACAGCATTTAACTAGCAAACATATATAAATGTTAATTCTTCTTTACCCTTCTTCCAAATTTTATGTAATACGCTTTGCATAACTCTTAGTATTGTTGCTCCCTTTTGTATAAACTAAATAAAAATAAAAAATAATCCTTCTAACTGCTGCACCTGGAAAAAACCTCTCCTCACTTGTTCCTCTTTTCCCTTTCTTGCTCTCTGTCCTGTCCCTCACTCCCTGCTGTCAAACAATTAAAATAACAAAGCAAACCTTTTCCAGCCCTTTTCACAAGTGAAAGGGACATTGCCAGTTGTGTTCAAGTTACTTCTTCTTAGCATATGCACAAGGGTGCCTCAGGTGGCACATGACCAGGATTCATCACCGAATTTGGTCCGCTGGTTGGATCATTAGCTTCCCTGGCCCAGGGAAGTAGAAATTACTTATTAATTAAAAACCCAAATGCTTTAGCTTTTACATTTAAAAAAATCTGTAACACTAATGCTACGGTAAATGATGATTTTATAGAACAAGCTCTTGCTGCTGGATACAGCCACTCTCCCATAGTAATCTTGTGTTCTGCATTTTTCTGTTGGATCTCTTAGTCCTCCTTTCTGCCCCTCCTCTTTTTTGGTACTTTCTTCCTGCTGATCTGTTTCTCCTCCATTCTGTTTTCTCTTCCATTTATATTTTTTAGTCTTTATTTTTTCCATACGTGTTTTTTTTAAATATTTCTAAAATGTGCCCATTTATGCATCTTAGGGTCCATGTATATTATTTACTTAACCTGTGCATCTCTTTTGTTTTTCCATGTCCCCTTCCCTTCCTTATGTTGCCCCTCTTAACCTCCTCATATTTGTCTTTATTGTGTATTGACTCCCACACTCCTCTACCTCCGCCCAGCCTAACAACTCCATCTAGCTCCATTACCTGTCTACTTTGTAATCCTTACAAATGAGCTTTGTTCTTTTCACTCAGCCCCTGGGGCCCCACCCTGAGCCTTCAGATTCCAGCTGCAGACCTAAATCCTTAGTTGTAACCTCCTTTGAAGTACAACAGCAGCTGGTGTTAAGGATTCTGGGGTGCATTTGGGATCTTTATAGCCTGGGTTCCACAAGCCAGAGCAGAGAGGCCAGAGATAATTCTTGAGGATTAAAGGACACACAGAGGTGAATCAGGGGTGGATGCTGTGCTATATGGAAGTCAAAGGATATCTGGAGTCTGTGGGGATATATAGAAACAAATTGTTTAGCAGAGGTTGTGTGATGGGAGAAGCAGATGGTTATTGATTGCATCGTAGGTGTCCGCATACAGGTGCATATCATTGACTGTCATTCAACATGACATGACTTCCATGCAGTTCAGGGTAAGTGACTTCTTTCTAAACCAAGCACGGGGAGCACAGTGGAGTGCAACCTGAGTCTGGCTACTCTGCTGCCCCTGCTCCGAGAGCAGTACCATTGACTCCAACCTGTACAGGCTCCATTGAGTCCGGTCCCGGACCAACCATCGGCACCGGAGGGACAATGCGGCACCAGTTGGATCACAGTACCATCTACCTCTAAGGCATTTGTTGTGGCTAGGGACTTGCTGGTGCTTTCAGTACCGTTGTTGCCAGAAGTACAAGAGTCAGTGGCGTCAGTGCCGGTGAGCAGAAGGGAGAATGTTGCCCCAAGCTCCTGTTCAGTACCGTCTAGAGGGAAGCTGGCCCTGCTAGCCTCAATGCAGATCTTCCCACCTCAGCGCCATTCCCCGGCAGTGATGGGTACTGCTCCTTCATGGTCCCCAGAGGAAGGCTCATTGTTGGACTTGGAAGTGGAGTTGTATCCCCAACCGAGAAACTATTGCCAGTACCCTCCCACCCCAGTCAGCCCTATTTGGTTGTGGATCTGGGTGTGGGGCACCCCTGAATATTTGGCACAGTTAGCATTTGCCTGTGCAGATGCAGTGGCCATTTTGGAACCCATAGGGTTTTCCCCCGATACAAGGGCCCACTTCCATATTCAGTGGTCTCAGAGAGGAGAGCGCCTCCATCCCTTCGACGAGCACCTGACCTGGACTCCGGTACCGAGCCCAGTACAGATCCTCAGGATCTAGACCTGCGGGGACCCAGTCAGTGCAGAAGGAGAGGAGGATGACCCCTTGCTGATGCAGGCATCTTTCTCCCTGGATGAGATAGTGTCGGGGGCGTGCACATCACCTCCCTACAATGACTTCAGAGCTCATCAGGAGCTGTTGAAAAGAGTGGCCTTGAACCCCAGGCTGGAAGTGGAGGTAGTCAGAGTCCTCCCACAACCTGGTTGATATTTTGACCACAGTGGTCCCATCAAAGGTGGCTCTCCATCTCAATTAGGCCATCATGGGACCAGTTAAAGCCCTGTGGGTACTTTGTTCCCGCTCAAGGATGGTAGTACAAGTACTCATACCCTCCTCCGGGGTCCCTGGTGGTCTCGGTGGCCAATGAGGGACAGGCAAGGGCATCAAGGAGTGACCTCCCAAGGCGAAAGACTCAGAGACTAGACCTTTTTGATAGAAAGGTTTATTCTACAGGGGGTCTACATCTCCACATCTCCAAGCTGCATGTGTTGCTGGGGAGGTACGACTTCAATGTCTGGGAGTCAATGTTGAAATTCAAGGACTTACTTCCCGAGGAGTCCAGGCAGGAGTTCTCCACTCTGGTGGACGAAGGGAAGTCTGCAGCCAGGGTTTCCGTTCAGGCCACCCTGGACGCAGCAGACTCAGTGGCCAGATCCATGGCTTCTGCTCATATGCAGGCGCTCTTGGCTCCTGTCCTTGGGACTGCCAACGGAAGTCCAGCAGTCCATCCAGGACCTTCCATTTGAAGGCGCTTCACTCTTCTCCAGAGCAAACGGATGCGAAGCTCCATGGCCTGAAAGACTTCAGAGCCACCCTCAAGTCCCTGGGTCTCTATGCCCTGGCAACTTTGAGGAAGCACTTCGGGCCTCAGCACCCCACCCATTTCTCAGCTCCACCGCCCT